AAAAGAAGAAAAGAAGAATACCAGTCATAAGCTGCATCGCTTTCAAGACTTTCGTGTCCGGTTTGACAGTAATAAGTTTGTTCTGCAATCAACCCATCCATAGTTATAGTTCAGAAAAGCTTATAAAAGCTAACAACAATTGCACGAAGCAAATCTACCATTCGAGTTCAATGGTCTGTCTATCCACATGAAACTTTGCTCGGTGAAAAGATTTATACCTCTTCAGTCATAATGTCCCCAACTTTCGTTGACTTGGATGATCTTCCCTGGACAATTATTTTTCTGAGATAATCTGCAAGTTAACACAAACCAGTTATTACAGTCGAACCATCCTCGAAAAATGCGTAATTTTAATGCACCGTTTGAGGCTTGCTTTATCAAGTTCCGTTTTTCCATAAATTTCTTCCTAGAAATATTATGTGATGTTTACTTGTATTATGCTCGTTGAACCACATACTTAAATGGCAAGTTATAAGATAATCAATGAAATTAAAGGCACAGGAACTTAAGCATATTAAGACGATGAAAAATCCAAAAAGCGAGCAACTTTTGAGCAGCATTTCAAAGCAAAAGTTACATACCTCTTTCAGTGATAATTCCTGCAATCGAATTTTCCTCCCCCGGTTTAACCACCACCAGAGCTCCAACATTGTGCTGAGTCATCTACATTTAACGAAAAAAAAATAAAAAAAAAAGGTCCACGATCATATCTCATTTTCATCAACTGCGTAAAATTTTCGAAAGCAAATATGAATATTTCAAAAACTACCAGCAAAGCATAGCCTAATAATCATCACTGATTCAAGTTTATATAAAATTAGAAGCTTTCTACTTATAACTTATCAATATCCCATCTTGAGATCAACAATTTGCAAAAGAGAAGTAAATGACAACAACCCGTAAATAACAACCCATATTTACCTAATTTCAAATAACCAATCAGGAAGTGAAGTACATCATATATAGCCAAATATTTGAAAGCTAACGACTTTTATACCGATTGCACGGCATCATACACAGAGTCATCGGTCGTGCACCAGAGCCAAGACCCATCTGCACCTTTCCCTTTTGCTTTCAGAACATCAGAAATTGTGGTGCTTTCGAAACCGTGTTCTTCAATGCCAGCAGTAGAGGTCGATTCTTGGCGTGCAAACATTAAAGCCCTCACGGCTGCTGGTGGGCCCACCCGAACATGGCGAAGAACGGCATTTTTTATTATTACACTCCCGTTCGAGAAGACTGATTTGATTCCTCCTTGCATTGTGCCTTACTAATCCGAGAGAGAGAGAGAGAGAGAGGGAGAGAGAGAGAGAGAGAGAGAGAGAGAGAGAGAGAGAGAGAGAGAGAGAGAGAGAGAGAGAGAGAGAGAGAGAGAGAGAGAATGGTAAATTGATGAGAAAAAAGAAAAGTTCAAAACTTTGAATCATCTAGCAGGGTAGTCTGCTACTGGAAAACATAAACTTTTGATGGTCTTAGGATCCTAAGTGATTGTCTGTAAATTGTAAATTCAGATTGTTTATTACTTACTACCAAGAATCACTCAATAATCATAGCCCACCAACCAAAAACTAATCTTTTTTTGAAATATTTCATCTGAAAATTGAAACAGAAGTAAACGAATCTACAAAGGTTTATGTTGGGGTATCACAACAAGCGCAGCGGACAAAAATACCCCTCCAACAAATATG